GCACATAGAAAGAATTAATCTTAATTGAGGATACATTAGCATTTTTACTCTTGTTCTTACATTTATGCTCTTTATGACCAACTTGCTTGTAACTAGTGCAAAACTGACTATTGTTCTTCATAAAACTAGTCTTGTGATGAGCAAAGGTCGCCTTGCCTTTCTTGGGGGTATAGCCCAATCTCTCTTTGTAGAGAGAAGCTCTTTGGTTACCTAAGTATATAAGCAAACGGTCCTCACCACCATAGGCCTTAGCCAAGGTGTGAGTGAGCTCATTGACCTCCTTCTTGAGCGTCTCATTCTCAACCATTAGTGAGGCATCACAAGTAAAACCATCACAAGTGAAACCATTACTACTAGATGAGGTGAAAGTAGAAGTGCTACAAGAAGGGTTAGTGAGAGTAACAATGATAGGCTTATATAATGATTCATCAATTAAGTCACAAGTTAAGCCTACATTACATGTCTCAACATACTTCTTCTTATTTTGCTCATCAAGCAAAGAGGAATGAGCCTTTTCAAGCTTCTTGTGAGCCTTGCCAAGCTTCTTATGGGCTTCCTCTAGCCTCTCATGAGATGCATTGAGCTCATCAAGGGCTTGCTTAAGGGCTTTTATTTCCTTATGCAAGCTTTTGCATTCCCTTCTCTTAATGTCAAAGTGTTCTTTAGCATCATCTAGCATGTCAAGTAGTTTATCCTTAGTTGGTTCATCATTATCACTATCACTTTCATTTTCATTATCATGTTCCTCATCACTTCCATCATCACAAATTTATACCTTAGTGGCCTTAGTCATGAAGCATGATGGAGTATTGAAGAGAGAAGGCTTCTCACTGATAGAAATGCTTACAAGTGCCTTCTTCTTGGTGGTCTTGTCATCATCACTATTATCATCATCACTTGAGGAAGCATCACTATCCCAAGTGACCACATATGAACCATCCTTCTTCTTCTTCTTGAAGGTCATCTTGTCCTTCTTCACTTTCTTTTCCTTCTTGTCCTTCTTCTTGTTCTTCTTGTCATCATCATTGTCACTATTGTATGGGCATTGAGCAACAAGATGATCTTTGCTTCTGCAATTGAAGCACCTTCTTGACTCTTTGTTGTTCTTAGATGAAGTCTTCTTTCTTCTAGCATGGTAGCCCTTCTTCATCATGAACTTGTCAAATCTCTTGATAAAGATAGCCATCTTCTTATCATCCATCTTATCAAAGCTCAAGTCTTCATCTTCACTTGATGATTCTTGCTTTGCCTTGCCCTTGGATGATGTGGCCTTGGATGCCACACTCTTCTTCTTGTCATCCTTTTTCTCTCTCTTTTCTTCCTTCTCATCACCATCTCTATAAGCATCATCGGTCATGATATCTCTCAAGATTTGGTTTGGTGTCATTGTGTCCAAACCGGTCCTCACTAGCAAGGTGACCAACATGTCAAATCTTACGGGTAAGCATTTTAAGAACTTATGAGAGAAGTCCTTGTCCTCCACCTTCTCACCAAGTGCTTTGAGATCATTGACAAGCACTTCCATCCGATGGAACATGTCTAGCACACTCTCATCTTTCTTCATCTTGAAGCTAGCAAAATTCTCCTTGAGAATGTATGCCTTTGCACCCTTCATTGTCTTGGTGCCCTCGAATGATTCTTCCAACTTCTTCCAAGCCTCATGAGCCATCTCAATGTTCTTGATTTGTTCAAATGTTCTCTCACTAATTGCATCATGAATGACACTTAGAGCAATGTTATTGTTTTAGAGAAGCACTTCTTCGGTCGCAGTGGGAGTCTCCGGATCGTCAATCTTAATTTTAGTTTCTACCACCTTCCATACCCTTCTATTGATTGACTTGATATGTGTGGTCATCTTTGACTTTCAATATGGATAATTTGTGCTATCAAATTGGGGTGGCTTCTTAGTGTTGTTGATTTGAGCCATTTTGACACCGAATATTGTTAAGCCTCAAATCACAGTGACCTCGACTCTGATACCACTTGAAAGGTCCTAATGGCTAGAGGGGGAGTGACTAGCCTATTAAAATTTTACAACAACACTTAACAAACCGATTAGACAAATATGAGGCGAAGCGAGTGTTGAGCTAGCCTAATAAAAATGCATGTCACCTACCATAATTCTAGTTTCTATAGTCTCTATCCACACAATGGCTATGTCACTATACTAAGTTAGTATGCTCTCAAATCCTAACTAAAGAGCAACACTAACCAAACTAATAAGCTTTCACGACTAGCTACACTAAAGAGCTTGACAACTAGTTTGCGGTATTATAAACAGAGAGAGCAAGATGGTTATACCATCGAGTCGAGGAATGAACCAATTAATTACAAGAATGAATACCAATAAATATCAATCACCTCGGAATCAAATGTTGACACAATGATTTTTTTATCGAGGTTCACTTGCTTGTCGGCAAGCTAGTCCTCGTTGTGGCGATTCACTCACTTGGAGGTTCACGCGCTAATTGGCATCACACGCCAAACCCTCAATAGGGTGCCGCACAACCAACACAGGATGAGGATCACACAAGCAACGAGCAATTTATTAGAGTACCTTTTGTCTCTCCACCGGGGAAAGGTCAAGAACCCCTCACAATCACCACGATCGGAGCTGGAGACAATCACCAACCTCCGCTCGATGATCCTCACTGCTCCAAGCCATCTAGGTGGTGGGGTCATCACCAAGAGTAACAAGCGAATCCCGCAGCGAAACATGAACACCAAGTGCCTCTAGATGCAAACACTCAAGCAATGCACTTAGATTCACTCCCAATCGCACAAAGAAGGTGAATCAATGATGGAGATGAGTGGGAGGGCTTTGGCTAAGCTCATAAGGTTGCTATGTCAATGCAAAACGGCCAAGAGAGTGAGCTAGAGCCGGCCAAACGATATTTATAGACACCCCAAACTATAGAGCCGTTGGCTCAATTATTGGGCTGACTGCGGGACGACCGGACGCGCAGGTCATGTGCACCGGACGCACCGATCGTGTGCACTGGACGCACCGATCGTGTGCACCAGACGTGTCTAGTCACTGCGTCCGGTCGCATCCTAACCGCCACGTGTCCCATTAAAATTGTTTAGCCATTCGTGCCCAACGGCTATATCTGTGCACAGTAATACTAGTGATCAGAGGCACCGTTAGAAAATGATCGAACGCGGGAGACCCAGCGTCCGGTCGAGTCCAGAGAACTCTCAGAGCCACTTTGGGGTGACCGGACGCGTCCAGTCACACCGGACTGGACGCTCCTAGCGTCCGATCCATTATAGCGCTGAAAACCCGAGTCTTGCTGGTACACACTGGACGCGTCCAGTCGCTACGTCCGGTCGAGTCCAGAGAGCTCCCAGCGCCGCTCTACTTCGACCGAACACGTCCGGTGTGGCCGACCGAACGCACCCGTGCGTCCGGTCCTCTCTGGTCCAACACCCGCACCCCACGTCACCTCGACCGGACGCTAAACAGTGATTGTTCAGCGTCTGGTCATTGCTATGACCTAGAGTTTGGTCACTTCGTCAACTCTCTGCGCCTGGCCAGAATACCGGACGCGTCCGGTATGGATATCGGACGCGTCCAGTCACGTCGAGAAGATACCCGACGCGTCCGGTCACCTTGTGACCAGCGTAGTCAACTCCTTTTCAACTCTATCTTCTTTACCCTTACTCAAATGTGCTAACCACCAAGTGTATCACCTTGTGCACATGTGTTAGTATATTTTCACAAATGTTTTCAAGGGTGTTAGCACTCCACTAGATCCTAAATGCATATGCAATGAGTTAGAGCATCTAGTGGCACTTTGATAATCATATTTCGATACGAGTTTTACCCCTCTTAATAGTACGACTATCGATCCTAAATGTGATCACACTTACTAAGTGTCTCAATCACCAAAACGAAAAAACTCTTGTCAAGTTTCACATTTGTCTTAAGCTTTTTATTTTTCTTTCTTCTTTTCTAAGTCTAAGCATTTAATCATCACCATACCATCACCATCATCATGTCATGATCTTAATTTGCTTCATCACTTGGAGTAGTGCTACCTATCTCATAATTATTTTGATAAACTAGGTTAGCACTTAGGGTTTCATCAATTCACCAAAACCAAATTAGAGCTTTCATCGCGTCCACTCCGCGGCAGCGGCGCGGCGGCGCTTGCCGAGTCGTGCCCGCATCGCTCGCGTCATTTGCGCTCGCCTGCTCTGTCCGCTCCGCCTCGCCGCCGCTCATGCCTGCGACCATGCGTCCGCTCGCGCTCGCTCTTAGGTCGCCGATGTCCGCTCGTGCTCGCTCTCAGGTCGCCGCTGTCCACTTGCGCTCACCCGTAGGTCGCAGGTCGCGCGCCATCTGCTCGTGCCTCCACGGACCTGGCGTCTCCATGCCGGCCACCGGGTCGACCTTGCCGTGAGGCCAGCCGGGCTCGAGAGTGGTGGCACCGGCGAGGCCTGCTGACCGACTGGCTTGATCCGGCGTAGCTTCGTCCCACAGTGGGTGAATTTATTCACGGCCTCCATGCGTTGCTGCGTCGTCGGCCGGTCTGTTCCAATTCCCGAACGAAGCTGTGGTGTGGTGTCGTCCTCGCTGGCCGGCCGAATCCGCCCTATGGCTGGCGCGAGCCCTGCTGAAGATCATGCACGTACGGTTGACTTCTAGCTTTTTCTCCTGTCGGGTACGAGGCTGACTTCTGGTTTGGATGGAAACAGGGAAAAAAAGAGAAAGAGAGGAAGAAGAAAATAGCAGGGACAAGAATGTTATTTCACTGTTGTTCTCTCTGCTTAACCGGTCTATGATATCTTGTGACCTAATTTTATCGAATTTACCGAACCATGCTAAAATACTTACCGCCAGCGACACTTTAGATGCCCAACGGACGATTGTCCCATTTCAAATCCCTTCACTCCTCCGCCTCCCTCCAAAACTCAAATCAACATAGCAAAAAGCCGAAGAGGCGAAGAGCGAGAGCGAACCTCCCCCACATCGATTCCCCAAATCGCCTGGCGCGATGACCACGGTACGTCGACCCCTTTGATCCTCGATTTTTCTTCTACTGTCTCCTCTTCTCCGTCTCCGTCGATCATCTCCGGCGAGGTTAGGGAGACGGGTTGTCTGACGAGGTTACGGAGGCGGATTGCCCGGCAAGTAAGCTTGGGGAGGTGGGTTGTCTGGCGTGGCTGGGGGAGGCGGGTTTGGGACTGGAATCCGGTTGGGCTAGAGGGGGTCATCGGCGGCAGAGGTGAATTGACTGCAGAGGATCTCAATCCGCCCGGCGGAGGTGGCCGGCGCGGGGCGGGGGCATCGCGACTCGATGAATTAGCGCGGCGACGGGAGACGGCAGCGGATCCGGCTGCGCGGGGGCGAGGGCATGGGGAACAGCCCCTGATTCCTCTACATCGCTCGAGAAATTCATGATTGGCTTCCTGGACTCGATCTGATTACGAGTTAACGGACGGTAACCGTACGGTTGGTGCAGGCAGGAGAGGTGGATTCGGCAGCAGGCGGCGAGGACCTGGAGCCGCTCTTCGACTACAAGCGAGTGCAGCCCAGGATAACCTTCTCCTTCGACGGTACGCATCGCGTCGCTCTCTGTGGACTTGAGTTTCCTTTGGGCGAGTAGCTTAAGATTTGCCGGTTTCGATGTGCAGACAGCGACCTGGAGGCGGCCGACATCTTCAAGCACTGCAACAAGCGCCCCAAGGTCCACGCCACCACAGTGAGTGCGCCCGAGTTTGGTTCCGATTTGGGGACTTGTTTTGTTCTCGAGTGTTGATGTGCTGTTACTGGTCCGTGTTCATTAGGAGGAGAAGGAGAGTAAGCCAGATGAGGAGGCTGCCGCCCCCAAGGTGGTGGTCCTCGACGAGGAGGATTGGTTGCAGCCCCCGCCGCCCAAGGCCGCATTCAGGGCACCGGCCGTGGAGGATAGTACGTTTCGGGAACTGAGGTACAGTATATTTCAGTAATACTTTCTCTATACTTGTCCTATCTAAATGAGAATGCATTTTAAGGGGAAGATGATGATGTTTTTTTTTTCCATCAGCATTCTTCCAAACCATGGAAAGAATTGCAGAGAATACGTTTTACTCAGAATGAGTTTTAGAGTATTGAATGAAAATTTGCTCAGAATGCCTTTTACTTTTAGGGTAAAGTTTATTTTTCACCCTCAAACTTGCGCTGTAGTCTGATTTTCAACCTTGAACTATGAAACCGGGTGACACACCCTCCAACTGTTGAAACCTGACAAATTTGGTCCTCTGGCTGGTTTTAAGGTGGTTTTCTATTTTCTAATAATAATAAAAATCTGGTTTGGATTCTAGAAATTCATAACTAATTTGTTTTAATAAACCATACAAATATGAAACTAGTTCCAGTTTTCTTCTAAAAAGGGTTCAATCCCCATTTAGAGTTCAATCCCCATTTCGTTTGTCACATGCCAAAGACCCCAAAGAATACCCGAAAATATAAACAACTTTATGTGATAATCCTTGCATTCCAAGGGTATCCAGTTTTTGAACACATCTTGAATGCTTCCTGCGGATCTATCCCAGCCCAGCGCTCTTTAAAGCATGCCCAAATTACTTTTGCCACATGGCAATGAAATATGATTACAGGTTTTGACTCACCCCACATAGACAGCAGTTTTTGTTACCTTTCCCCTTTTTTTTTTCTTGAGATTCATTTCTGTTTGTATTCTATCTTGTATTACTAACCACATAAACATCCTTACCTTTGTTGGCATTTTATTTTTCCACATCTTAACCATTCTCCTGTTAACACCCCTCTGAAAGTCAACTTTCGGTACATAGATCTTGTGCTATACTAACCTGACTTCTCTGGAACTTATCCTCTCCTTCATTAAGCTCAAAGTTATCCAACTGATCCATTAATCTCTCCCATCCATTCGTTTCATTCCTCCAACTCCTCTTCTGAAACGTACATTCCAGCCATCACCTTCCCAGTAATCATTGACCAAACATGATTTGTCTTCACAAATATTGTAGAGAGATGGAAATTCTAGTTTCATAGGTATGCCACCTGCCCAAACATCCTCCCAAAAGAGAGTATTTTTTCCCATGATTCATTTCAGTCCTGCAGTCCCATTTCAATTCCCCTGGTTCTTAGAATACACCCCCACCCCCCCCACCCCCCAAAAAAAAAAAAAGACTTATTCTTCAAGTATTTCTTTTTTCAATAGGTTATAGCAAAGATCATCTTTGTTGGCTCTGAGCATTCTCCATGCCCATTTGGCCAATAAAACCTTATTCATTGATCTTGTATCCATGATCCCCATACCCCCAAAGTCCTTGGGGAGGCATAGGTTCTCCCATTTCATCATATGGTATTTAAACTTATCATCTGCACCCTGGCAGAAAAACTTTGCTCTGATGGTGTCCATTAGTTGGTGAATGACTTTGTTTAATCTGTACATCACCCATTGGATAGATTGGTAAACTGCTCAATGAAGTATTAGTAAGAATCAGCCTATAGAGAACACTGATGTTCAATTCAAATGGACTCTTGTGTATAATGTGTCTTTTAAACATGCTTTGGCATTCTAATCATACCTGTTTTCATGTTCATAGATTTGGCATCAGAATATTGCTGTTGCTGCCAACTTAACCATTACGTAATTTGCACAAAATGCAGGTTGAAGAAACAGGAGTGGGCAAAATTTGCCGAATCAGCTCAGGATATATTGCAAAAGATGGATGCAATCACCAAGGAAGAAGTTGGTCCCAAGGAACCACCTGAACAAATAATTCTAGATGAGGAGTTTGAACCTCCAGTTGAGAAAGCTAGGGAAAAGATTGTCATATCAATTCAGGACAAGGATGGGCATCAACAGATGCGTGTATACAAGGTTATATTAATCTTTTTGGCATGGGCTAGCATTGCTACTGTTATTAATTCAGCCCATATATACTCCCTCCCTCCCAAAAAAAGAATGTCAATCCTAGGTTTAGATTAAATCAAACTTTCTTAAATTTGATCACATTTATAGAAAATAGTACCAATATTTGTACATCAACGAGGTCTATTATGAAAATATATTTTATTATATACCTAATGATACTTATTACGGATCATAAATATTAGTTTTTTGTTTTTTGTATATAACCGGTCAAAGTAAAGATAAATTGACTTGTAAACATTCTTTTTGGGATGGGGGGGGAGTATATAACTTTGAATACTAGTTACAGGGGCATATGCAACTTTGGTTCAATAATTCAGGCTCTCCAATGTATTGTCACATAGTTTGATCTACTCTGGATTTTAATTAATGTTCATTCAATTTCATCGAACTAATGTAGTAGTTATGAGCCTACTTCTCCTTGGGTTTCTGAAGCTTGACTCCAAGAGTAATGCAAAACGTGTATGGGCCTGATTATTATTTTCCGCATTAGAAATTAGAATAGTGCAAAGTGAAAGAGTATGATTTTTTTCTGCAAATGTTGTTATATTTGACTTCTAGTTGACATGAAGACCTAAGCTAATCTCGTGTTTATTATATAACTGTTACAGGATGAGAAGTTTGACAAGCTTCTCAAGGTGTACGCCAAGAAGGCAAAGCTGAACCCATCTGATTTGTATTTTGTATTTGATGGAGAGAAGATTAACCCATCATCTACACCTCAGGACCTTGATCTTGAGGATGAAGACATGATTGAGGTGCGCCGTAAGCGGAGTTGAGGCCATCCTCGATATATGCAGTTTTACATAAAGTCAGCCCTTTTGCTTCCAAAGGCTTATTTGTCTATAGTCTATATAGCAAAGACATGTGAGGTCATCTTGATATATGCAGTTTTAGACAAACTCAGCCGTTTTGCTATCTTCTTTTGCTTCCAAAGGCTTGTTTGTCTATATAGCAAAGACATGTGAGGTCATCTTGATATATGCAGTTTTAGACAAACTCAGCCGTTTTGCTATCTTCTTAAGACATATGAGGTAATTCGTGTGCAGTATCAAGAACCGCAGGTTTCCGTCGTTCTGTTCTTTGATTGGGTATTGTGTGATGTCGAAAGAACTGCCTGAAACCCTCGAGATATACTGCAGCTGCACATGTGGGTTTGGTTGGCAAGAGCCATCTGCAGAAATGCCAGAGCACCCTCGTTTGTGGAAAGCTGCTTGCCGGAATCGGAGTGGGAGGGTTTGGCATGGGTGACCTGCTGCTGGTGGTGGTGCAGTGGTGCGTGCAGCGTGCTGTTGGAGTGTGTAAGGCTTATGATGCGCTTACCGCTGATGTCAAGTTTTGCAAGTTGCAACTAGCCGTCAGCTGTGACCTGAGAGGAGACTGGGTGCGGCAGAGTTATCAGTCAGTCAGCGCTAGGGATGAAAGCAGTTGGAACAAGCTTAAATTGCTCTCTTTACATTTTTCATGGGGAAATGAAATCGAAACTGATACGGTAATGCTCCGACGAGGACGTCCGGCCGGGCATGTCCGTCCAGACGCCCCGTTCCTGGGCCTGCGCATCGATTGGACCACTCCCGAACATTTTCCCCACTTGTGACCGCTACCGCTTTCACCGCGTCGTCCGCCCGTAGTGGCCGCTTCCACTATGCCATCCGCCTGTAGTGGTTGCGATGTGCCGTTCGCTCGTCTACTCTGCCTTGCCGTCGCGCCCCATCCCACGCCGCGCCCGCCCCAATCTCGCGCCGCGCACGGGTGTCCACTGCCGCGACCCATTCACCTCGCTCGTCGCGGCCATGGCACGCATCACGCCACCACCACCCCGGCGCCACCAGGAGGAGGTCGCCGGCCATTGCTCTCGACATCCCCTTAAACCCGAGTTTGCTGACTACCGTAGTCCCTCACCAGGTGGGCCATGGCCGCTGGCGACACCGTGTTCAAGTGTTTCAGACGTTTCAGATTTATGTTTCAAGTGTTTATCTAGATGTTGCAAAAGTAGATCTGAATATTTCATATGTTGTAATGACAATATACGCATGTTTCAAGCCTATGTTTAAAGTGTTTCAGTTGTTTCAAAAGTATGTTTTAAGTGTTACATCTGAATGTTGCATATATTGCTATAGCTACCCACGCATGTTTCAACTGTTTGTTTTCAAGTGAGACATATATTGCAAAAGTGAGCGCTAGTGGCTGGTGAATAGGGGTCTGCCGCAGCTGCCTGGTGCTGCTGCCGAGGTGCCGACGTGGTTCACGTGCAGGTGCGGGATGGGCGCTGCGGGCCTAGTGTGCTTCAGAGCAAGATTTGGCGCTGGGCGAAGGGAGTTGCATGCGTCGGGCGCGGTTGTGAGAGCTGCATCCGGACGGACGCCGCGTCCGGACGTCCGGGCGCTAGTCGTCCCGAAACTAATATTGCCAGAAACAATCATGGTGCTGGTATTATGGGAACTTTTTTTTTTGCGGAATGGCATTATGGGAACTTCAGAAGCTAAACAATCTGATAAAAAAAAGTGTCGATATTGATCTATAATATATATTAGGCATATATTATTATTTATCATGGGCTGATTGGTTGATCATCAAATTTAGTTGCAAAACTTAGACAAGCCAAAATTTTGAAAGCCATTTATTTTGCTACTCAAATTTACTAATATCTCACAATTGACATGGCAAATCTATGACAAATATTTTTGCCTATGTTTTAGCAATGAGCCTTTGGCATGACAAATTTTGGTATCCCATCAAGTAGGCCCAAACTTGACATTTTCTTACTATACATTGTTGATCACACGGAATTTCTGTGAAAGTTTGGTTCATCTGAAAAGAAATATTGTTCATCTAGCTGAATATTCTTAAGAGTGCCCTTATTGATGCTGGAGACCGTTGCTTGCGTGTGCGTGTCAATGTGCTGTTGATGCTATTGATGATGTGTTTGTGTGGTGTGCAGGACTGCAGGCAACCACGCACCACCATGGCACCATGCATCAAGCAACAGCCTTGCCACTGGTTGCGTGAAGGCAGAAAGCATGAACATGTTCCTTGTGCTGCATGCAGGTCAATAGACAGCACTCACACAAGCACAGTACGCATCAGTTGAGCATGCACAATACAATAATATGTGGGTCACGGAATGTGCGTACTGAATGTTTGCACTAAATATGTGAGGTGATATGTCGGCTTAAATTCCCGGTTACCAAACGTTGCTGCTACTGGCTTTCCTACTTCCGCTCTCACAACCGGTAGAAAATATACAGTAACAGAAACAGAGGGTGTTCTCCACATGCTTCCATCCATTTTCATCCTACCTCGCCCATACGATCGTCGTACTCTTGCCATGCCCATGCACACCATATTATTAGGCAATGCCCAATACAAGTATACAGTTGTGTTTCTAAACCACTAATGAGGTAGCAATGCTATACATGGCCGGGTGAAGAAAAAGTAAGCATGCAGCGGGTATCTCTGCAGATACTACTACCACCATACTAGCTACTACTTTTTTACTTCTTTTTATCTCAAGTTAGATTTATTCCCCTGTGACATGACAGAGCCATATCTATTGACACTCAAATTAGGTCTAGGCCAATTTTAAGAGACCCATGATTAGCTTTGGCCCAATCTAAAAAAAACTCTATAAAGTGATAAAGTAATAATATCACATTGATTTTTCAACGGGATAAGACCACCTCTACTCTCTATAAAATGCGGGGTACATGGCCGATTGAGATATCCAACACCTAATCGTCAAAATACAACACATACCCTCTCTTTGCCTTATCTCTTCCGACCCCCTACTGTTCATCGTTTGATCCGAGTATCCGACGACCCAGGATGGTGCCCTAGGGTTGTTGGTCGACGTCTTTGCCTCAACGAGGTCCCTTCTGGCCAAAAGCTCCGGCGACTCTTGCTAGTTTGCCTAAAATCTAGTCGTTCTTCGTCACGTAAACGCGATTGGTTATCCTGGATGGTTTGCACGTAAACCTCTCCGTTCTTCACCACGTAAGTGCGATCCTTGCTGCGTTCTTCGATCCGTAACGACCACAATCTAGCCCTAGCTAGTGTGTGATCTAATCCGGCGTTAACAATATTCTAGTTGGCATATTGGGGATGGCCTTCACCAGGTTAGGGACGAGACATGAAGGTTAACGTTGTAGTTTCTAGTTGAGTACCTGCAAATTTGGGACACGGTGGAACCAGTAGTGCTCAATGGAGACGCGTCGGATCGCTTCCTCTGAGTTGGTCGTCTTCCCAATCCAGACAATTCGAGTCCATGTACAATTTTACAGGCATTAAAACTAGGCTTCCAAACAGGCTCGATGACGTTAAAATACACGGTAAAAAACAAAATGCAGAATTTTTTTAGGGAATAAATATTTGCAACTTGTCCAAGGTACAGAAGTCATTAAAATTAACAACCAACATTTCTATTAGGAGTTACAAGTTACAAGCTTCAGTAGCATATTGAACAGCATACAGCAACGACCACAAAACAAAACACCGTTAGTTCTTGAGCCCACGCGGCTCAGTATCTTGTCAGCTACCTTTTCGTCATGTGGTCATCTTTGGCAGAAAATCGTCTTTCTCTATCATCTAACAGCCAAAATGTAAAAGTCCAACATCGGCCGCCATTATACAAGTCATTTCCAGAGCTTGAGAGTCCTATCATGGCTTACAGAGGCAACCTTCCCTGTTGCACTGGATGCTGCCAGGGCTGCAACCAAACCATCATGCGCATTGTTGAAGGTCATGGTGTTCTTCTCCCTTATGTCCCAAAGTTCCAAAGACTGCATAAACATAACATAAAACAAAAGAAAAGTTAAATGCATCTCCCTGAAAAAGGACTATGATTATACTCCCAAAACAATTAACTGGGTTACACAAAACTTGAGAAACTTACTTCATAACATCCAATCACTAGCAATGATTTATAAGTTGGGTGGAAAACACATGAGTGGAATTGATTTCCGCTGCGATTCAATTCGTGCACAAATTCACCATCACGTCCAGAGCTGAATGACCATATTCTGACCGAGTCTTCACTGACAGAAGCCAGATATTCACCAGCAGAATCCCAACAAAGCGATTGAATATTCTTACCGTGCCCCTACACATTTGAGAACAAACCTTTACAGTTAGATACTCAGTTTTGTTGCCAAATGCAAAACAGATCCCATTTTAAATCAAATGAATTTTTTTCGAAAACCTAAATCAAATGAAATTCAGCATCATAAAACTAGCATGGCTAAAAGCTTAGTGCACCAAGCTAGTGGAACTCGAGAAATTTTAATGAACCTATTCTTGTTTCAACACCATGTACCAGAATCAAGAATGGCCATCACAGTCGGCTTTTCTAGGTATATAGATTTTGCTATGCGTCTAGATATTCGCTATGTCTAGATACATTGTAAAAAACTATGTATCTAGAAAAGCCAAAACGACTTACAATTTGGAACGGACAATTTGGAACGGACGGAGTACAAAAGAAGCTAATTGTGCATGTCATAAGTTGCATGTAACTATATAATTATAGTGAGTAGCAAATGGATCCTTGGTAGACGTTAGCCAGTGATCCTTGGTAACCAACCTGCAAGGGACTTCTACAAGTATGTTGTGTCTCCCCATCAAGTATGTAGATAACTTTCTCTGAGGCAGCTGCTAGATACTTTCCCTTACGAGGTTGAAATCTCATCTGAGTAGCACCTCCCTGGGATGACAAAATATGAAAGGAACAAAATCATGATCAGAGAAAACCTTAATGATTAAGCAGATGACCCCATGAAATATAAAAAATAACATCGTACCTTAAACACCTTAACACATGTCAAACAGCTACCATTATTTATGCTCCAGCTGCGCACTTCCCCATCACTATCACAGGAGCATATCATATCCTCTTTATTTGGATGAAAATCAAGTGACATAACAGATGCTGAATGGCCCGTGAAAGTTCGGAGCGAATAGTCGGTCTGCACATAAAGAAACAATTAGACATTAGTGTTCTGAGCTGTGGGACTAATGCAATATTGCCAGGAAACTAATGAGGGGCATACATTATCTGCATCCCAAACCCGCACAGTTTTGTCGAAGGAGGATGTAGCAAGGCGCGACATGCTTGGGCTAAATCTAACATCAGTGATAAGAAACGAGTGCTCTTCCAGATAAGATTTAGGCTTCAGAGGATCTGTACACCACAAAGTAACCTGTACAAAGAATAGGTAAGTAATTTAAGCTTTCTCTAAAACTTGTGAAATGATAGTTATGTCATAGTGACCACACCTTTTTATCATGACCACCAGTAGCAAGCAGTTTACCATCAGCTGAGAAGTGGCAACAGACAACTTTGTTTGCGCTTGCACGTGCTTTGGCAATCTCAGAAAAACCAAACCCTAGAACAAACAACTCTTCAGCTATGCACTGAACACAAACAAAAATAATACAATGAAACAAAAATATGTTTTCTTACATTTTGCCTTTATACAGCCAAGACAAGTTTTAACATCCTTTGAAATAATTATGTAAAATTACAGACAGCAAAGATAATAATACAGTAAATATTAGGAATAGTAATCTGATAAGGAAATATTTCTTATCTAACAAGTGAGCAGATGAATGACAAACATTTCTCGGAGCAAAAAAAGCAAGATATTTTTTCTTAAAAAGAAAGTTAATATTGCTTCATTTACAGAAGGCATAAAACAAAATATCTATGTCATGGATAAAAACATGCTCTCACAAGGACAAGTTAAAACAGGTACCACAAGGAAACAAAACCACACCTTTACTAGCATCCATGCATCGCCCCAAGGTATCCCTAGGATCCATGTCATCTTGTGATAGAAAAGATTCAACATTATCATCCAATGAGCCATCTTCCAGCAAACGGTCCACATCATCCTGGAAAGAAAAAGGTTCCTGTTATGATACCATCATAAGCACATTTGACTAAACAAAAAAAGATATGTATCTCATAGCACACAAATATATGTGCATACCAATGGGTTTGCTGGAGATGTCAAGCTCCCAGTTCCATCAGAGCCAAACATTACCATGGGTTTAGCTGAACCGCCATTCTGCTGCAGCTGTGGCACAGACATTGCATCTCCTGGTGTATGAGTGGAAGGTGTCGAGGGTGCAGAACTTGGAGAGGGACCAGCAGTATTGGCTGTGCCTGAACTATTAGCCCTACCAGAGGATGAGCCTGGCTTCTTTCTCTTTTTCGCTGTCTGAACCAGAAACAGTACAAGTTCATTTTGCCAATCTAAAGCAGTGGGAAGTGCTTCTAAGTTCTAAGACGAATGTTGTAACAGTGAGGGATACGGTCTCTCGTCAACAAGCAATATAATTCCAATGAATAGGACAAATCAATTGCAGTACAAAGAACAGAAGACAACAATGTGTTGTTGGAACACCAGATGAATATAAAACGGAGATAGGTAATCAGGTCAAGAGCTCTACAAAGTGGATGCATCACAGAATTTATCATAAAGGTGTACACATGATCATTTAACACAGAGGGAACTTAAGCTCATGTGCAATTTCAAACCAAAAGCAATATGAGATGAGCTTCGTCGTATTTGACTATTTTCTTTTTCAAGGAAAAGTATATTTGATAAGCCATGAGTCCAGGACAGATGCATAGTAGGTACATTTCCAAAAAAAATAAAAAATAATAAAATAAAATAAAATAAAAACAATCAACTAGTCCAGATAATACGCGTGTTGTAAATAGTATAGTAGAATGTTAGGTTTGAACATCCATACAAAATGGAATATAGAAGGCATCGCAGGTATACAACTCAACTGACACATACCTGTTCAGCTCCCCCAAATGAGTTTGGTATGCCCCCATCAACAGGCATACTCCCAATTCCTGGCTTTTCTTGTTGAAGATGTTGATTTGAACTTTGAGATTGCAGGCTAGAGACAGCAGGTTGCTGAAGCTGATGTTGCTGTGGGAGCTGTTGGCTATTGCTTTGCTGTTGTAACAGTTGCTGCTGCTGAGCAAGTTTCTTCTACTACACAGAAAATCTGTATAAGAACATGACACCAGAAAAGAGCTAGAAAACTAATCTGAAGGAGTGTATTCATGCAAGGAGG